ATGAAGACCCCGTCATATCTTATTTATGAAACTGTGTCAAAGTATTGATGAAAAGGGATGATCGCACATTGAAATAAAGAGCTCCTGAGTTTTGTGTTTGTATTCACGGATCAATCATGAATCACAGCACGATTGGCACCTACACAACCTCATTGTGTAGGTGCCAATCGGGCTGTGTAAACAGTATGACACGTAAGGGCATGAGAAACTTCACTTGTTCACCTGTCATTGTTAATATTGATAATGTTGTGGCTGAGGCTCAGTAACTTTTGGCCTGTTATTGAGAAGCAAAGTTCCACACCAACCATATACACTCGCAATTTCCATATTGTCACTATGTAGAAGAAAAAAAAAAAACACAACAACTCTGCACACTACCTAGAAATTGAACTTATTAGGTATATAAAAGATACAAACACCGTTCCAGATGTTCAGATATTTTTAAGAGAGTCAAAAGTGGCCACAGTAGTTTTATAAAAAATACCGCAGTTGTCTAAGAAGATTGTGTATAAATAGTAGATAATAAATAGTATTGCAGCAGGTGCTGATTGAATTGGTCTGTTACTGATTTATGGTGTGTGATTTCAGAGCAGAGTTCAGTGAGATGATGGATCTGGGATTTGAAAAAAAAAACAAACAAGCCTGTTTCTTAATCATGTAGTACGTGCTTTGATGGACCTGGAAAGTTTGCCTGAGGGCAGACATTCAAACAGCTGATGAGCAGCGTGAGATAAGTCCTTTAGGATGCAGCATACTTTCTACAACCAGTGATCTTTACCAAAAGCCTTCTGTGGATCCTGTAAAAGTTTTTTTGTTGTTGTTAAATTAGCTTGCTATGATACATACCTCTAAAAATAACTAGTAATTCTTTAAGATAAGTTATTTTCACTTCTTGTGCCTTTTTTCTGAGCATAATCTTTAAGAATACATTTTTATTGTGGTTTTCTATGCACTAGGATTTAGAAGATCCTAAACCAAACAGAACAATGCAAAACAAAGGTCAAACTGGTCTATTATCATATATGTTGTGGATGCTCTAAGACTTAACTCTCAGCTTTGGTTGCCATATCTGTCACAGCTTCCCTCTGGCTCTGTTCTGCTGATTTGTTATTTAGAATCCGGTTGTTCTTCGCCAAGTTAAGCTTTGGAGGGTATTACCTCTGTCGTCCTCAGTGTATCTAATCGGTGTGCAGCAAAGATGGTCCTTTAAACTCGCCGAGCTTGCACTAATGTGCAGGACTTTGCCAGAGGCATCTCTGCACCTTTGGTCCTGTGTATGAATCTGGTGCTCGTGCTGCCATTATCACAGCCTCTGTGTTGTGTTTCATGTTGGATCGTGCCTCCTATGTACTACATTTCTGATGACTGGGAGGGCACACATGTTGATGGCTTTTCTGCTTTCTTGCCCTCTGGTGGAGCTTTCCTGTATGTCTGTCATCTTGGCTTTTGATAACTCCATCCATTCATGTTCGGGTTCCCCAGCATCTGACTGTTTATCCGCACAGTGTCTGGGAACTCTGTTCTGCTGATTCAAAGGGGACACTACCACAATGCTACCCAGCTGCTTTTAGGTAAAACCTGCAGCAATCAGGTTCTTATATTAGCTTCACATGTACATGTAGAGGTATGAAAACTATATGAATGGATACATTTCTGTAATGTTTGATAGTTTTACTTAAACATAAAGATGATTTTCTACAATGTTAAGTATGGGTACATTAAAGATCCCCATGTATACAACAGGTACGATTCACAGCACCTTATTATTATTTTAATTATGCAATGCTACAGTATATACACAAATATGCTATAAATGAGGGCATGATTTACATTAAATGTCAGTTTGATGCAAAGCTGAGTTTAATGGCTTTGAGGAATATTGCTCAACATACAAATCACATAAAGTACTGCAACAGTTTAACAGCTGACTTCTCTGCTTTCCCGTCTTCTTCAGGGACTGAGAGCAGCAGACAACGATCCTACTGCTCCTCCATACGACTCCTTGCTGGTGTTTGACTACGAGGGTAGCGGCTCCACCGCTGGCTCTGTCAGCTCCCTCAACTCCTCCAGCACAGGAGACCAGGACTATGACTACCTCAATGACTGGGGCCCCCGATTTAAGAAGCTGGCTGACATGTACGGAGGAGGGGATGATGATTAAATTTGCCCAGTCGCACGCGTACACACACACACACACACGCAAACACACATCCTTGTCCCGTCAGCTGGCCTGCCATGCTCTGACCCCTAAAACAAGGGGCTATTACATCCTTATTGAACACAAGATAACAAGGACATGTTCACACTGACCAACGGACTGACCAACCAACCAATCAAATTGCCCACCACAGAGGACCAGCGCCATGAGTCAGTTTCGGGTGCTCTTCTCAACCGTCTCCTGCTCTAAGCCTGTCTGTGACTGAAATGGAAGCTCTGATTTTTCAGACTTCTCATTAATTTTCAAAGTGTTGTGCTTTTGTTCCATTTAAATGTTATATGCTAGATTTAGGTTTAAGTTCCTCTTGTCAGATTTTCATTGTTTTTTACCTATGTTTGTGTAGCCTTTTATTTTTATTTATTTTTTTATATCCTCACCCCTCTTCGATTCAAGCTGTTCCCTATTCCCGAGGGTCATCGCTTTTCCCTCGCTGTCAGCCCCCGCCCGACTCTCTGAAGAAGCTTTAGGTTGAGCTGCTTGCTTTGTCTGAGGCAAACAAAGGATAAGAAAAGGAGAACAAGAACATCGATATGAAAGTCCTTCCTGCACGAAGGGCCTCAGTTTATTCTTTCTTGAACTTGAATTACTTAGAACAGAAGCACTGTTGTTTAAAAAAGTGCCTTCAGTGGTGCGTATTTTAGCTGACTCCCGCTAACTCAGGATTGGTTGCCATTCTCTGGACTTACACGCCCCCATATGACCCCCTGACCCTTTAATTCACACCTCCCTTGTCATTTCTCCCGTCGTGCAGGGCTGTGGTAGCTGCGGGAGATCTCAGTACTGGTTTCAGAGGAGTGGTGACTGGCCAACGAGGGCGCTTTATGCTAGACGTACTGTACATAGGCCTACAGTGTGTCTGTAACTTATGGACAAATCATTAACTTTTCAAGTCAGGCATATCTGTGCTCCTAGATCACAGCCAACTTGAATGTGATGAATTAAATCACAAAAATACATAACAGGACTGTCTTAGAGAAGAAATGCATTATGTGTCTTTGTTTATCGTGGCTTCAATAGCAGCTGTGTTTGTTTTGAGCTCCCTGCGTTTGCAGCGAAAACTCAATACGGCTTGTTACTAAATTTGAAGTGTGACAAGTCACACGTGTTACCTCTGTAATGTTTAACTATGTATGTACAGGTGAGGGTTATTTAGGAAAATGAAGGTATTTAACATGATTCTGCCTTTAAGATAACTTAAAGTCTGCGTGTTTATGTGCATCCAAATCCCAAATGGTTGATTCTTTTCATCTGGACGTAGCGTTTTCAGCGGGAGAAACGTTTCGTCACTTAGATGCAAGATATTTGCGTCTAAAGGTAATAACATGGCACCAGTTATCATGCAGTAAAAGCGCCACAGAAACTATATTAAATGTACATTTATGAAGAAACTACCAGATAACTTTAAATAGCTCTGATAGCATTACTTACAGAACAGTTATCTTGTCCAGGCCCCATTCTGAGTCCCTCTGTCTCCCTTTTTTTCATTATCCGTCTGTTGACTCACTGTTGTTTCTCAACAAACTTTTAATATACAAACTCTGGTGCTGGTCCCTGTCAGAGAAACTGTGGGAATTGAGCCTCAGCCAGGGACTTAGTGCCTTCACAATCTGTCTCTTTTCAGGCAGCGTTTCATTCATCTGAAATTTTCTCCTAAAATTTTTGGCTTTGAGTTCAAGAGGTTTTTAAAAAGAAGTTAGTAGAATGGAAAGTATAAGAAATTCTGCACTTTATCAAAGCAGAAAAAGCTAAACTAAAGCTTCAGTAATAACGTTTTTCTATGAGACAGACATTTTGAAAGGCAGTTTTTGTTGTGACTTAATGAAAAAGCAGCGCTACCCGTGGGTTTTTGTAATCATATTTCAGGGCAGTGTAAAGAGAACTGGGGGGGAAAAAAAGAGCTTTAGTCTCTGTTTTATGTTATTTAAATACCCAAAACATTTCACAGAGGGACCAGACGCTGGCTACAGATAGAAAGGTTTAATCGTTCCTTATCTTCCTAGTGCAAATTAAAACGCTTCTCAGTGGTGGCTCGTTTGAGCTCCATGTGAACTGACCAGATCGTCTATAAATAATGATTATAATGACTGCTTCGTGGAAATATCAGTAGCAGTCACATTCACATGATATGACAAGAAGGATCCGGGACTCTTACTCTTTTTTCCCTCCTTCTTGCTGCTGCTTTTCAGTTGTTCTTCACCTGGTCGGTTTAAACAGATTAAAAATACAGTATAAGTATAAACGTGAAAAGTGATGACATGGAAAAAGTAAGTATGCTCTCAGAGTGGATGTACGGAAGTTGACTTGTGATGAGATAAATGTATTTTTTATGCAAATTGAAGAGAAGTTAAAATGTTCATTTTCAACTATGAACAGGGAAAGCAGCATCTATAAGTGTAATTAATAAGGCGAACAGGGTAACAATCTCTTAAAATTAGGTAGTTGTAGGTCAAACCTTGCATTGTAAAGCCAGAAAGTGGCGATGTTCAGCGCAGCTCTCAGCTCAGACATGAGAAACAGAGTGGTTCCCCCAGCTTACAGCTGGATAAGCTCTTATCTATCCGACTGCTCCTCAGCCTCCAGAATATCTACACAAAATAAACACAGCTGTTACTTTCTGCTATTTGTGATTATTTCTGACATAAGTGTTGTATATACGGAACATTTTTATACATTAGATGACATGATTTACCTGTTTCCGTGCAGTCTTTGCATTTCCTTTCACCGTAGTTTTGTTTAAAACAAATACCTGGCAAACTATATTTCACAAAAAGCCATGTGCATTTAAAAGAATCTGTAGGATTCTGTAAGAGCTTACAGCCATACTCGTGTCGCTGTTCAACTTTTGCTTCATTTTTAGCAAAAAGGCTCCACTTAAAACCAACTTGTACAGTCTATACTAGCACACACTCACTCCTCTAGGCCTTACTGTATATATGTGAGTGTTCTATAATATATGAGCCCGTTCAGCGTTGTTTTAATCCAGCAGTAAAGCTGCGACTTTGCTGATGGCCATCCAGTGTTTGTAGAATAAAGACATGCTTCACATACTACTCGTACTTTCTTATTGGACATTCAGACCAGATTCAGGGCCAGACGGAACACGAGGCCCCACTTTAGACAACCTAACTGACCTTTAGAACCGCGTTGGTTAGATAACGCAATGACATAACAATACTGAATGTTAATGACTCACAGTTACACAGCAGCAAATATATCAGTGGATTGCATCAGACTTGGCTCCCCATTAAAATGCCGTTTATTTGGGGAAATAACGGGGCTTTGGCCATTAATTGTTACCTGGTCCACTTGTCTTGTCCCTCTATTAAATGGAGAGAAAACGTTAACAAACAAGATTGAAGGAAGAAAGAAGTATTGCACTGCTGTAGTCCGACCCTGATTTCTGTTTTGGTTAAGGGACATTTAATCTCACTCTGGACACTGCCTGACCATGGACACATGTGTGACGGGACGCTCCGACAGAAGCCAAACTATTGTCCTGCAAAGGCTAGAAACACAAAGATGAGCAGTGTTTCATAAGAGTTATCCTAATGCTATTCAAGTCCAAGTGTACATAATGTAGTATTTGCTTGAAGCTAAAGAGACAAAGTTAGCCAAACTGTAACTGTACAATTGGAGCTTTTTGCATGTGTCTTTTTTATAATGGACAGATGAGTTCTATTACAGTAACATACTACATTTCAAAAAGTGTTGCAGCCCGCATGACAGGCGCTGCAGTCCAGAAGGCATTCTGGTGTACCATAGTCACATTGTTTCAAATGGAGGAGATTAAAGAAAAAAACTTTAAAAAAAAATTGCACAGTTATTGAGTCAAAAGACTTCTTTTGTAAATTGTCAACAGCACAAATATTTTGTATTGTTGTTTGTACCATTTTGTAAAAAAAAATGAAGAAAAAAAACAACAACCAAAAAAAAAAACCAAAAGGGAACGAGTCTGTTGTTTCAAGCGTGTGTTTATAGTGCCACTGCAATCTTGGTTTCCAAATACCGTACAGTACATGCGCAGCCTTGCAGATCAACCTTGTAATATAGACGCTGAGCTGGAGATTCCCTGTCAGCACCATGTGTTATAAATAAAATTTCCCCTCCTTGTAAGAACACTGCCTCTTGTCTTTTCTTTGTCACCCGCTGATTCCTGCACGCGTCGCCTTTCCTTACACTCATCTTGTTTTTAAAGTGCTAACGTGGTGTGAAAAGTCTTAAATGATACGCTGAAAAGTTTTTCTCTTACGCATTTTTTCCACGACAATAAATTGTCAATCTTGATTGTTTGTGCAGATAAGAAAGCTATATAATTTACACTAAACATTAGGACAGTGATATTCTTTAATGGGCATATTTTCACGTAAATGACATTAAAGTCTTTTTTACAAAGCCTTTAATGTAATTTTGAAAGAAGAAAAAAAAAACTTTGCATGTTATTTGCCTGTAAAACTACTGGAAACAATTCAACAGACTAAGAATTAGAATCAAAGAGAATTAGAAATGATGATGTGCCTCACCTCACATCCCTTTATACGTTGATGATTGAATGTCGTGTTTCAAATTAGGTTTAGTGCCAGCGCTGAAAAAAATGTAAGCTAAAATGATCAACACAACTGAGGCTGTTCATTTGTCAGCTGCGCCTGACAGAGCCATCTTCCAAGGTGAAATAATGAAGTATTTCCAAGCAGAAGGGAGATGAAATGCAGACAGGAAAAACACAAAGACCTTCATTTCATTTCCTTTATTTCTGGCATTGCATATTGAAGTAATTATTAATATTTCCATTGTAAAAAAATTCTGCAATGATGAAGTCTATCAGGCAGATCGGAGGTAACGTAAAAATAGAAATACAAATCGGTTAGCAATCAATCCGAGCAGTCAAAGCAGCATGAGGAACAGGATGAGATGACCCTTACTTGCTCTCCTTTTACCACAGCAGTTCAATGAACCAACAGCAGACTGCATCTCCTCATTGATTGACCTGTCAGAGCACGCCAATGCACACGCAGACAGAATAAACCCCGCTGTTACACACTGCTTACACAACAACGCATGAACACACAAATCTTCTCTGCAAACTACGAGAAAACTGATGGAAAAGCGAAACCCGCTCCTGCTCTCCCACCAGTCAGGCTGCTGGGCTGACAGGTTGACTTATCTGACTTTCTGACAGGTAAGTCAGAATGGATTAATTCAGGCAGGAGTCACAACACTATCAGAAATGCCTCATGCTGAATTTTTACCCCGTTTGGATTTATACATGTGTGTGGTTTACACGTGATATGGATCGGAGCTGCAACTTGCTTTTACATCCTCAGCTATTATTTTTTTCCAGTCAGCACATTCCCTGTGTCTCAAAAGAGATTAAATGTTCATAATGTTACACTTGACCAAAAGAGATCTTATCTCAAATGAGTTCAACATTTCAGGAAATGTCCTTATTTGCTTTATTATCAAGAGTCAGATGAGAAGATTGATCCCAGTCTGATATCTGCTCTTCAGTATGCTGGTGGTTAGATTGGCTTGCCCAAAGACTGCAAGCTCTCCTGGCTGAGATAATAGATTCTGTATATGAATATGTAGCACAAGCAAATAACATGTTCCAATGTCTGTGAAGGTTCTCAGTCATCCAGGTCATCGTAGTCAAAGGAGCT